AACCAGACAGCTTCAATTATCCAATTGATTTGATTAGAATATACTTGCGTCAGTGTTTTTTATTAACGCCCAAAACCGTAATTTAAACACATATAATAACAGATCATATACACGCATGGTGCCATCACTTACTACTAGCTTTAATAGGCCATCCCGGAATAAAATTGTTCCCCCAAAAGCGAGGAACATCCCTTTTAGTCTGTTTATAAGAAATGTATTCCAAACAATATCCTCAGTAGATGAGAAGATCTGTTAAAGAATTGCCTCAGTAAGTCAATCACAATGACAGAGCGTCGTAATACATTTACATCAAGTACAATACGTCAAAATGGCCGACACGATAAACGTGACGGGAGATATTTCCGAAGTTGTTAATAAACCTCTGGTTATTTAAAGCCTTTGTCATCACTGATCAATTGGCCGATCATTGAAAGGTGATTGTAAAGATGTGTCAAATAGATATAACATTTACAAACGATAGAATGAGCAATACTCAGGTGAAATATTAAATAAAAGCGACAAATGCGCTTACTGTTGGCGCAGCACAGGTCGCCAACTAGTCGAGATTTCTGGGATATCACCCGGGTACTTACAGTAAAACACAACAACAAAGGCAACAATCAGACCCGGGGAATTGTTGTAGATCAGTGCTCCTTTAAAGGAGACGAAGCAAGTCTGGTTGATTACCGTTTATGTTCAAGTGACTAATTTACCACAGTACTGTACGAACATGGTGTCGGATCATTTTCCATGCGTTATGTCATTGGAAGTAAATACGGCCCATAGTGCAACGGCTAACCGGGCGACGGACGAGGATAATAATGTATCATCAGATATACAGAGAATACTACACGATTGCCTGTCAGATACCATTTATCTTACAATGAGTTTTTTCAAAACGCTTTCGCTCGTTAGATACGCTTTGAAACAACGAGTTGTAAGAAAAATGGTATCTGACAGGCATCAGTGCAGAATTCTGTTTCTTACACACCCTAAAATCGCACGTTATTAGCATCGAATCGATGCATTTTGTCTGTTCTCATGATCGCATTGGCGCATTCATCAGTAATGTAAGTGAGTGAGTGAGTGAGTGTGGTTTTACGCCGCTTTTAGCAATATTCCAGCAATATCACGGCGGGGAACACCAGAAATGGGCTTCACACATTGTACCCATGTCGGGAATCGAAGCCAACGAGCCAACGCTTTAACCACTAGGCTACCCGACCGCCCAGTAATGTAAGTAATCAGAAACAATCAGATTATCTGCGTACTGTTATTTGTTTTTATGTTTTCGAATGTAACCAAGAGAATGTGTCAGATAACTACCGTCGTCGTTGTGCGCGACTTTGCGTCAGTCATGGCGTAACACAGGACGGAAACGTTTACGATTTCTGTTGAATTTCCCTGATCAATTAGACGAATTGATCCCCAAAATGGGAGAGTGTAAAATCTGAATTTTGCTTTGTTTACATTTCAACAAGTACAGTTTTCCGAGCAAAGTGTTCGTTTCCACACCTAGTTTATTTCGCAATAGCAAGAATGAAATATCCTTTTGGACACTTGTCAACAATATTATTTCTTCACCTTCTGTGACAGGCAGCCCAGGTATTAGCAATGTGCAACAGACAAAATATTTCCAGCATTGGTTTAATTTAAGGGATATACATGTGGAAGGGGACAATCTACATGCGGCACAAGATTTTATCACCAGCCATTCTATTAAAGAGTGCAATTACTGAAATGATGATGGTATGAATAATCTCCTGAATGCTGATGTAACTGAAGAAGAAGTATGACCAGTAATACATAACTTGAAATTGGGTAAATCGGCAGGACCGGATGGAATTTTCCCGAAATTGTGAAATGTTGCAGCACTTCAATCATATCACATTTAAAAATAGTTTTTCATAGGATTATGCATAACGGCGTATTCCCTTACGAGTGGGCAAAGGGTATAATACTTCCCGTGCATGAGAAAGATAATATTAATCTTGTCTATAGTTATAGAGGAAAAACGCTGGTGGATGTATTTGGAAAGTTGATAAGGTGGATGTATTTGGAAAGTTGATAACAACAATATTAAATGAACGGCTCAAGACTTTTGCGGAAACTTAGGAAACGATTTCTGAAGCTCCGGCCGGATTTCGAAGCAGATGGAGTACAATTGACAATATATTCACTTTACAGTGTTAAGCACAAACGTATCTCTCTAAACGTCGAGGTAGATTTTATTGTTTGTTTGTTCATTTCCGAAAAGTGTTCGATTCGATCAAATGGAAGCTCATCTCGTATTTACTACTGAAAATGAAATCAACGGTCGTTGATTGGTGGTTTTGAAGGATCTATACTCCAAGATCCAGTGTGCTGTCAGGACATCAAAAACCTCTTTCAGATTATTTCGAATCACTGACCAGCGTTCGACAAGTCTGAATGTTGAGTCCCTTTACGACGTTTAACCTTGAATTACAGTCTATGACAGAAAGAGGAATGTTTTGTTGCAGAGAAATTCATTGACCAATTACATTTACTATATGCAGGTGATTTGTGTACGAATAAGATATTAAATGTAAAACAGATATGATGTGCATGTGGATTATCATATGAAGAGTGTTAAATGCTGGTGTAAACCGATTAGAATGAATGATGACAGATATCCCTGACAGTGTTATTCACAATGAAGGAGCTGGATGAATGTGGTAGAATTCATAACTCATAACTCATGTTAAACATTTACGCGACATTTATTGATTTGGATACGTTTGCATGCGCACGAGCAGAATATTGGTGATGTTAATTGTTTGTTGGATTGTAGTGAGTGAGTGAGTGAGTTGGGTTTGACGCCGCTTTTAACAGTATTCCAGTTATATCACAGCGTGTCAGCTTAATGTGGCAGGAAAGCCCGAAGTGATGCAGGTCTCAGACGTTTACGACTTCGGTGAAACCCACGAGCACGGGTATGGTGCTGACAAACCTAGAAACATAATCGGGGCGAACCGGGATTCGAACCCACAATCATAGGTTTCTGGCGTGTCCAGGGGACGCAACTCTGCACAGCGAATCGCAGCGACTTAGACGACTGGGCCACCCGTGCCCCCTTGTTGGGTTGTAAAAAGAGTATCCAGATGAGAATTGATGAGTCTTGTAAATTAAGGCATTATAAAGGTATTAAGGTACGTTAAGATAGTATTGGATATAGAATATTATTATGTAACAGCTTTCAGAAACATCAGAAACAGATCACAACTTTTGAGCAAGTGTCGTTTGACGCTCTAAGAAATCTCCGGAGAAAGAACATGCTCCACTGTAAGATAAAACTGATGAAAAGTAGCTGCTGGAATACTGCTCGTCACAAAGGGGAAGTTCACTTTTGGAAAGTTGGAATCACCCCTGTTGTCATACAGCCTTGTTGAGATATTTGTGTCACACTGAAACTTTATGCATAGATCTAAATATGAAACAGATGAGTCTGTGTTAACCCGCCCCTTCCATTTCTGCTTCCGGTGGGTATATCAGTGGAAGGGAATCGGATTTTCACCACCATTGAATGATATCAGATCATCGATATGACTGATGCTTAACTAAAACATCTTGGCCAAATTCACTTGTCTATATTTTATATTTATATTATATTTTATCACCCAGAAAGTGCATGAAGAAATGGATCATCAAGAAAGGGAGCACAATTGGTGCCCTGGACAAACTGCAGCTGGCTTGGCTCAGGACACTCGTCGTCATGATCATGATCACGTTGAACAATATACGTGCATAGTCAATGTATTGTAAGTGGCAATATTAAAAATTGTAGGATATAAAAAAATCATTGACATTGCTAAAACATTATTGTGAAATTCGTGATGCAGTATTGTTTAACGCCGCTCTGAACAGTATTTCAGTTATGTCATGGCGTGTCAGCTTGATGCGGGAGAAAAGCCGGAAGTGATTTAGGTAAAAAATGAAGACACTTAATCAGAAAGAACTGGGAATTCGAACCCATGATCAAAAGGTTCTGGCACGCCTAGGGGAAGTCACTCTGCACAGTGAATTCATCGTAAACAAAGTCACTTGCCCTAAGAGGCACCACATGTGCATGTGCTTCAGTGTTGGGCAGGACCGAAGACCTAGAAACTCTCAGGAGCCGAGCAGCCGAACACAGCCACCCATCCAAGGAGTCCCCGTGACTAACGTGACCTCTGGTTTAACGCCGCTTTAAACTAAATGACAGTTATTTCACAGCGTGTCAGGAAATCCCTGAGTATATGGTGCTGGGGTTCAATTCCACGATAACAGTTGTTTGGTACTTCTACATTTGTAAGGGGGCGGTCGGGTAGACTCGTGGTTGAAGCGTTCGCTCGTCACGCTGAAGAGCCGTGTTCGATTCCCGACATGGGTACAATGTATGAACTTATTTCTGGTGTCCCCCGCCGTGATATTGCTGGAATATTGCTAAAAGCGACGTAAAACCATACTCATTCACTCACTCACTCACATTTGTAAGAGACGCGAACGACAGTGCCATCGATTTGAGAAAATGTCAGAGATCAGACTTAAATTAAATAGAAACGTTGTTTCTTGCTCTGAAGACACATAAGATTTATGAAAAACGACACAGACAATAACGATATATGAACGATATATGAACAAAAACAATATGTTGCATTGTCGTGTTGTCGCGCATTTTAACGCCCTTTTCACACAGTTTTGGTGGGCGACAACGCGACATCTTTTCAAATTGAAAAATGTTGCATTGTCGACCTTTGGTAAAATATGTTCAAAGCGCAACAATACGATGATGTGACAATGTGACAAATAGCCAAAATGTCTCATTGTTGTATTCTTGCATTCTTGCGCTTTGGTTAATTTTGACATCTTTTGCTTGTTTTTGTAAGGGCGACAATGTGACAGTGTGACAACGCGACAATGTCCCTTCTAGGATTCCATACATAGGAGGTAGCTGCACAAATGATAAATAGATGAACAATATATAATAGTTTACTACCTACCTGTAGGGAACTCTGCAGGTTCCAGTGTGATGGCGTTGAATGCTGCAGTATCTGGCATACCATTCGGCCTCTTTGTTGGGGAGAACGTGACTGATCTGACCATTCCTGCCACCTTGATAGTATCCTGAAGATGTTTTACGTTTGCTTGAACAAAGCTGACTCCAGTCCTGTCAAAGGGTATTTCCTGTGGTGACTCCTTCAACATGGAGTTCAAAGAGGCCTCAGATGATCCCATTACCAGTAGATCTTCCACCTTGTCAGCTTTGCTGCGCATCTGTCGCATGTATTCGGATGAAGATTTCACTTTAGTCAGCAGTAGTCTTGTCGAATCCAAGGCTTCCTCTGTTAGCTTCAGATTCTCGGCAGATTTCCCCTCAACATCTGATAGAAGGATTGTTCTTCTTTGATTCAGCCTATCGGTCAGGTTGTCAAAGATTTTATTGATATCATCGCTTGCTACCCTCATTGACAATTTGATGTTCTCTATCTTCTTTTGAAGGGCTGACTCCGTTTTGCTAAGTCTCTTTGTCTTCTCCTTAATCTTTCCTAAAACATCATTTGTGGACTTCGCCTTTCCTTGGTGTGCTTCATTCACGGACACGACGTTGTGTCCCTTCCCTTCTTTGTGATCCACTACAGTGCAGGACACACAGACAACCTTGTCACAAGTGTAGCAGTAGAACTGTAGAGGTTGTTGGTGCTGACTACACTGATGTAGACGACGGAAGCTCTGCACAGGTCGCCCCTTCATTTCATCAAAGGTATTTATAGTGTGGGTCTTTGATACCGTATTCCGTTTATGAGCACTTAAGCAAAGGGAACATAAAAATGTTCCACAGTTGTCACACTGGGCTACGGCTGTTTCCTTGTCAGGGCAATCTGTACATGGAAGATGGAGACCTTTCTGGATCTTGAGGTAGTCCAGAGTCTTCAGGATGACAGTCTCTTTGGGCAGAGATTTAACACCTCCTTTCAGGTAATGTCGTTGTCGACACATGGGGCAGGATAGGGTTGCAGCACCTCCACTGTAGGTTTCCAGACAGGGCTGACATATGGACTGTACACAACATGGCATACGACGGGGAATTCGTTTAGCGTCATCAAAGTGTTCTGTACATATTGGGCACTCTGTCAGAAGATCCTTGATCGCAGCCACTGAGACAAGATCCGACATGATGTCTGGCAAAAGATAATCATCACGACCATGTTAAATTAAATGGAATCAATTTCTTTCATTGTGATGGATTTCAACATATATTATGAATTTGAATGTGTCGTGAGACAGTGGTTATATATGTGATCAATTTCCCGAAGCATAGACTCCCACCTACACATACGCATCTCATCCCTTCACACGAATGTTACAGACTAAGATTCAGAAATCCACTCTTCATATACATGTTTCTCTTTCGGGTATATCACTTGTGCTATGTGTAAAGCGATGTATTAGTTTAACCCATGTGAGAGTGATGATTATGTTTTTAGGTATGCCAGCACCATACCCGTGTTCGTGGGTTTCCTCCCACAATAAGCAGACACGTCGTGATATAAATGGAATACTGTTCGGTGGCATGAACTCGTACATATATAAGTTTGAGTGTACTCAATAAATGTCCATGCACAGAAGCTACTTTCGTAAAAGAAATACTCCATGCCATAGAAAGGTAGGGCAGTACACTACTTACATACAGCATGTCGTATATTGAAGTAGTGTGTACTTAACCAAGTGGGCAGGTCTTACACAAATGCTTAAATTTGAAAAAGAAGCTTCACTGAATGTTCTATCATGTGGTTTATCAAAATGTCAGAAAGATTTGTTATATCCGTGTGTTGATGTCAACGGGTCTTAAAACCAGTCTAGTCACGTTCTAGTGAACGTAACATCACCTCTCTCTTAATTGCGCGTTGCGTCGTCACCTCTCGGCAAACTCCGGCGGATGATAGAAGTATGCGATTTAAACCACTAGAAATTAAAATTTACAGGTCACTGATTCCCTGACAATGAACGTAATGACACCGGAGTATGGCATCCGCCGGACTTAACTTAAGGATTGAAGTTGTATTTGTTGCCATCAACATGGACAGGCAGGACTAACAACACTCATCAATTGACATTGTGAAACATATGTAACCTTAATTTTATATTCTGTATAGAAATGGGTACAGCGACATTGCAGGCTTCATGCGTCTGTCATTGAGTAACAAATGCTGACGCGACCTATATCATGCAGATGTTGATAACAAGCAGGAAGTAACTCGACATTCACATCAACTTTATATAATCACTACTCCAACAGAAACGCTGCTGCATTACAGACGTTCTGTGATCCTGACACAGCAACAAGTCATAATCAACAGACTGATTAACTTTCTTACCTTAAGAGAAATGACAGAGAGAGATATCTATAGGGGGCGTCTACATACACGTACACAGACACCACTCCACCTAAGCCTTTCTGCACACGCGCAGTTGCTACTTTCGTTATTATAACAACTTGAAATACTTGACTACCTCGTATGGCGTGTGCAGTCTCATACAATGGTAAATAGGTCAGTTGTAAACAGTGTACTTCGATCACACCTTGTGGTGTGTCGGGGGTACAACCAGGCACGTTTTTGCACAGACAAAACAAAAAACTCTTGTAGACGAATATGCGCGCAGCTGCAGCAAATTGATAAATGAATTCATATTACCAGTGTCAGTGGAAACTCGAGTTTTTACATGGCATTTTCATGTAACACCTCATATCAAACCAAAACCCCCATGCCATCCCGAGGGCCAAATGAATGATGGCCGATATATGTAATACAATAACCTTTTTATCATATACCATAAAATAATGTGTCCATTCATAAACATCCATAACATTTTCATCTTGTTGAGAAGACGCTATCATGGGAATATTAGCCGAGCAGACGACGCACCAACTCCAATCGGGCTGATATCGATTGCCCGTTCTAAGTGCACTGACAAGGCATAACAGCCCGGCAGGGGTGTAACACGGGTCTGATTATTGTGATACCCCCCGGTGATATGACCATCTCCATATTGGCTCACAGGGATGTAATAACCCGGCCGTGCTGATATAACGATCGAAATCAGCCCGACTTATGTCCCTTAGTGCGTCGCCTGCTCGTTTGTGGACAGTAATATAATGTTTTGCATTCACTGGCAAACAGATACATTTTACAATGTTAAAACGTTATGCCATGGTATATGATAAAAAGGCCATATCAACCCTCGACCCCCATATCAGCCATCTGGCCTTCGGCCCTCGAGCTGATATGAGGGTTGGGGTTTGATATGAAAACTGCCATATTATAACCTCTAAATATCACAGTTAAATCAAAAACTGTATAATCTGAATATGTCATATCTGTCTTGGTTGATCAATCTTTGTTTGAATTTTTTAGTTAATTGGTGTAGTTAATCGAAATTGGTGTTCAAGAAGAGGACATATATTTGCGATTTGCAATAATTGAACTTTAGGTTTTGTATATCTACCTTAGCCCAATGTCAGGGGTAATGTTGAGGAACACGTTCAAACCTATTAATCTGAATCTATCATATCTATCCATATCTTTCAATGATGGAACTTCTTTTTCTCCATATCATTTACCTAGATCACAATTTGACGAACAGCGTGTCTCGCATGCGGGATTCCAACCTGTAAAGTCCACAGCGAAGAACTGTTCTCAACTGTCAAGGCGACATCAAGAGGAATTAACAATGGCATGTTTACTGACATCAATACGTATAGTTAGTCCGTTTATAAAGGTGTGTATTTGTGTTTAATTCAGTTCTGTACTTTGGCCGTACGTATCATTTTCTCAGCATTTCGCTAAAATTACCCTTTTCATGATCAGGGTTATGTTTGCTTAGAATAATGATAATTGGGCTCTATTATCGCCCATCAACATAACGACATAATGCGAATATGTAAACAACATATGTGTGGACGTTCTTTTCTGATTAGGTGTAATTACACACAGGGAACTTGTGTACTTAACTACATTATGTGATGTAGGCAATACTGGATTTTCTGCTCCGGTCGATGATTGTGACAAAGGACATGCTTAAGAACAAAATGGCTCCTGTGAAACTCATAGTCGAGTGACCTAGATACATATATGCCAAATTCCACATGTCACGGTGACATCGTGGTAAGTATACAGAATCTACATCTCCCCAGTAGTGGGGCGATGGGGTAGCCTCGTAGTTAAAGCGATCGCTCATCACGCTGCAGGCCCGGGTTCGATTCACAGCAAGCTTAAGGGTACAATGTGTGAAGCCCATTTCTGGTGTCCCCTGCCGTGATATTGCTGAAATATTGCTCAAAGCAGCGTTAAACCTCAATCCCTGCTGGTTACTGACAGAGCAAAAAGAGTCAAGTAGAGTGCATGCGGGTTGCAGTGTCTCTCGGGTAATATGAAGAATAACCAACTCGGAACTCACACCAAATGTCCTATTATGCTACATGCCGCACATAGCAACGTCACTTCATATCAAGAATAGTTGCAAATAGTTAAATATGATGTCATGCATTGTGATAGTGGTCAGACACAGTTTTATGTAGCGTCGTTCCGAGATATTTTGACTGAGCTTATATATCCATGTGATACACGGAAACCGTGATATTTCACAAAAAGAAACGTGTGCCGTAGGATAATCTCTAAATCATTTGCAAATGCCTATAAATATTCTCATGTGAAACACTGATAATGATGTTAAAGGAGGTGGTCGGGTAGCCTTGTGGTTGAAGCGTTCGCTCGTCACGCCGAAGACCCGGGTTCGATTCCCGCTATGGGTACAATGTGTGAAACCCATTTCTGGTGTCCCCCGCTATGATATTGCTGGAATATTGCTAAAAGCGGCTTAAAACCATACTCACTCACTCACTCTTAAAATTAAAGAATCAATCTAGCAGTACTGTAAAGATATATTACGAAATATCAGCATTGCGTATTTAGCGACAAAAGCCTTTACAGAATCAAAAGAAATCTCTGCTTAAAGGCAAAGTCTGTTGTACGATTCCGACTATATCATGAGCAGGTGTCTATGAATCACCATCACTTAGTGATGATACGAAGTGTACACGTAAGGTAAGAGCATCCAGGTCCACCAGTGGCACCCGTCACAAACACATGCAAAAGTAATTCAAGAGTTCACCTGCACAAACGCGGGAACATAAAGAAAAGTTAAAACAAGGAATTACATCGCCATCATTTTCTTCACGTGTCCTTCCACATCGGACATAAAAAATAGTAGAGTTGAATTTAAGACATACAATATGGTTCGAGCCTTTCGGGTGAGCAAGGAAGGATGGGATGCACACAATGGTCGCTGAGATCTGTACGGGAGGAATGATCACGAACTCTTTATTCTTTCACTATGGACGTCGGGTCCTGGAGACCATCCCCTCTGATGATGTTTTACGCGTTTATTCACCGTCTAGTCATTTCCCTTCAGAGATAACAACTGGGTCATTCCTTCTGATAGTGTAAGGTTTTGACCTGATATTAGTTCACACGTCATGTTTGAATCTTGGGATGCATCTAGATACACCATGACCCAGAATGTTCTTTCACACACAGTGTCAGTCACAGACTGAATCACTGTAGTGTTGCCAATGTCAACAACATAAATCTTACTGCTCCTACCGCCCAGTAGAGTGTCTAGATGTAAGGCACCTGCCTTACCAATTTGATTGCAAACAATAGGTATATCAGAGAGGAGTTTGCCATCAAACCTCACCCAGAGACAAAGCTGGTGCTTATGCTTTGGACATCCTATGATACGTACACTCAGTCCAGTTGATTGGTTCCAGCAAGTATCTGCGGGGTTGGCAATCATTGCTGTCTCAAACACCATGCTTCTTTTCTCAGTGACCCTTTTTTCAAAGAGAAGCTGACTTTCACCAGAAACATCTCTCGGCTTCCACCTCTGATAACCAAAGGTCTTGATGTCAACAGACGTCTCCACGACCTTTTTCGACATTCTATGTCTTTGGGCGGAGTCTTGGGCTTTTCATTTGTTACCAAAGTATCAGATACAGTGATGTCGTCACTCGCTGTACTGCAGTGCCATTCAAGGTGCGGACCTAGGGAGGAAACAAGAGACGAACTAATAACACAAAACACATTCATTGTAAGTCTCATTCACAAATACACATTATTGAATCAGTATAACATAACACCCATTCAAGTTGACAGTCGCCTCATAACTGAGAATGTTTTTATTAAAATGATACAAGACGAAATATGTATTTTCCACCTCCCATGTATTATTCCTTCAAGTAAAAAAAGTGACATTTCATTTCAACGAAATATATAGTACAAGACAAAGCAAATCATATGAACAGTTATATGGGTTTTTTTTAATGTCCTTCATCTATCCATCGAACTTCCACGACTATCTGTAGCTTGGGATTTTTTGTCTGTTTGTTATTTAACGCCGCCAGTTATATGAAGGCGGTCTGTAAATATTCGCGTTTGGACCAGCATCGATCTGCGCAATTGGGATATTATGACAAACAGAAAACAAGTCAGCGAGCCTGACTACCCGATCTCGTTAGTCGCCTCTTACGGCAAGCATCTGGTGCTTGTGAAACCGATGAGGATGCGTATGATGTAGACAAACAAAGAGTCATAGTCAAGGTTCAATTTTGATTCAAACCAATCATCTACAGACTTTGGCATAACCGTCTACGGAAATCCGCACAGGAGCCTTACATCACAGGTCAAGCGGTGCCCCTTATGTTGATGGGCACATGAGTAAGATAAGTTGGAGCTTAAATACATGACATCTCACATGAAATGGCTTCATCTCCACTGGAAATCGTCTTGTCCACATCAGCGACTTAAACAGATTACAATGTAACTAAGAAATGAAATAGACCAACTGTCGAACTAAAGATTATGATATACCTTTATCTATTTAAAACTAAATGTTAGTTTCACTACAACATACCCAAACACACTATAATAATGAATATATCCAACCGTTTACATTTAGTTATAAACTTAAGTCATTATAAGCAGACGTGGGACAGTAGTCATCACAAACTGTCGAACCACAGCTACCTCATGTCGACAATAACATTTTATAGATATTTTTACATACATGTACATAATAAAAATTAATTTACCCTTTTGAAATTCTGCAGGTGTCAGTGTGATTGCAATGTATCTGTCAGCCCCTGGTACATATCCCGGCCTCTGTGTTGGGAAGTACGTGACTGACCTTATCAGTCCTGCTCCCTGGATTGCGGAGGAAAGGTGGGTCAGGTTGGCAGGTACAAAGCCTACGCCTGTCCTCGTATATTGTTTCTCAATGTGAGACTCCTGCAACATCCTTTTGAAAGAAGAAGCCGATGATGTCGTAACTTGTAGATCTTCTGTCTGGTCAGCTCTACTCCTTATCTGCTGTGTGGTTGTCCAAAGAAGACGTTACCTTGTTTAGCAGTTGTTTAGTTGACTCTACGGCCTCGTTAGTGAGTTTAAAACCATTGCTAAAAAAGCCTTCAATGTCTGACAAGGATCCGTCTTCTGTCCTGAAGTTCTATTATCTTTGGTCAGTGCTATGTTTGGCAGGTTACATGGCAAAATCAATAACATGCTCGCGTTGTCATAGCCTCATATGTTTGTAGGTTTGTGTGTGGCTTAAAACTAACACAAATATATATGTGTATTTATTATTTATAGTTATATATATTTGTATGCCAATATATTTGTGCTTTTAAATATTTATATATTCCGTCTTTACACTATATTGCTACCTTATAGTAAAGAACGATGTGTGTTGACATTGCTTCATATAGAAGAATGCAGTGCTGTCAAGCCCGTGGGGTATTGATGATGTGAGGCAAAAGAAAGGTAACACAATTCACAAGCACGAACAGTTTAACATCGGTTTTGAAGAAGCATTTAACACATATCCAATTAAGCGAGGCTTAAATATACTTATACCAGTAGACTTCATATATCCTGTATAACAATGCCCTTTCCTTTCAAAAACAATGATCAGTTTCTGCATTGATTCTAAAACATCTAGTTCCCGGTTATGTTTGGTCACTTGCAGTCTATGCGGCTCGTAAGAGGTAAGAAAGTGGATCTGGTGACCTACAGCCCTGCACATGTGTCAAACACATGAGAACTGACAGGTTTTGACAATGCTCACATAGACGGCCAGGTTAGTTATTACAATAGGGTTTGATGTTATCGTTGTAGGTTATCTCAATAGCCGCGTTCCTGTTTCAGTTAGTGATTGTGTTACACAACATCATTTCGTCAACATTTCAGCCGTATAGCCACAGGAATAATCTTTGCAATCATAAAAAAGGTATATACAATAAAACTGTAAAAAAACAGATTCAATATAAAATATTCTCTTTCAGATGTGTGAAGTTAGGTTTCCGCAATCATTCAAAACATTTGATGTATTATCATGGAAATGCGATATTTGACCTCAGCGACTTCATGCATGAAGCAATTCCTTGAACTTTACTTGATTGTTTTCTCCGCGTGCAAAGACGTCAGTTCCTCGACTTTGTCACTGGTAGCATATTTAGATATGTACTTATCTCCTTGTTAACAATAGTTTGGCTAAAGTTGAAAATATCAGTTTGAGTTAAACTGTCACAGACGGCATACCAAAAACAAAAGGCAAAGAAATGCTATACAATCAACAACTGTCATATAGAATTAACTAAGTTTACAAATCAGTACAAATTACTGCAAAGTAATTACAACGGGTGGACACACTATAGTGGTAGTACAAAATCCACAAAAGTATATGTGAGAGCAATAAAGTCATTGACATTAATATTTACCTTGAAGCAACAACGGTCAATCTTCCAAAATAGGCCTAGTCTGGATGTCAAGGGTGGAAATAATGATCTTCACACGATTATTTTTCACCAGCCTTGACTGTTGACATTTCAGCAGATGCACTCAGTGCATCAATGGAATGTTTGAAGCCTATGAGCGTATACATAGTTGACACAGGACACTAATTCATAGGGCGAAACTAACGATAGATCATGGTGAATGTAGCGTTTTCTCACTAATTATACAGAACCTCTGTGTCAGAACCAAAACTGTCACATTTCTTTCAAATATTGGCGTCGAATGCCGTGAAATCTTGAAACTGACAGGTCACAAATCACTCGTGTCGTGTCACTCATCTGCAGCCTAAATTGCGGCTGTTCCAGTTCCATTGGCAATCACGTTGCACCAACAGGATCATTCCCAATAAATCAACAGGTTAATGTGAAACCACATCATAGATCTTGGTTCGTGTAAAGCACTCGGTTACAAATTAAAGTAAGAGGCATCTCCTCTACAGGGGGACTACATCAAATTTCAAAACAGGGTAAGTTTATATTTTAAATGACGATGTTTCTCACACAAATTCAAGCAATTTTGAAGCCCCATTCAAAACATTGCAACATAACCTATATGTTGCACTTCACTTTTTCATTCATAATCCAGTTAATATAACATCATAATACGAATATACATATCTAGATAATACTAACATTGGGAATTGCTGTATACACTTGCACAACTTCACAATAAATGAACACTTTAAGACATTTCATGGTGACATCTTAAATGTATAATAAATGTATATCTTTCACAATAAGGAACAATCCACACACACACGCGCGCGCGCGCTATGTACAGCAGCATTAACGTAAGTAGTGTTCGACTACACAGCAAGTATACAACATTAATACTTATGAGGCTCTTGGGTTCTATTTTCTGCAAGAAATATTCATACCAATGTCTTAAGGAAACAAGGCAGACACGTCATACATTGTAGACAATAGAAACATAAATTATGACTGCTGATACTGATTAACCAATGCGGAAAGAACTTTGAATAATAATTCCACAGAGAATAACATGACCACATCATTTTACCAGATGATTTCTTTCCTGTGATATTATACAAGGGGTGAAGTCACTTAAAAACTACCATTCGAAAAGGTATCATTGAATACGACTAACTCCCCATACCCAACCCCAAACCCAAACCCACCCACCTCAACCTCACCCCATCCTAACCAAACTCACCCCATCCCACATAACCACACAGAGAGGAAAACATGTTCATATTTCACGAGTGGATGTACTAGGTGAAGTTAGCCATCATTATTGTGTCGTCAAAGTAATTTGGGTTGGAGTGTGTAAGGTTTACCGTTCCTTTGAGCAATAGCTCAGTTAAAATAAGAGCACGTCGGCTAAATGATGAATGAAAACCTTAATCACGGAAATATTACTCATAAACCAAGAACCTTAATCTAAGTATGAAATAGGAAAGCACGGCCACCTGGCTATGTCCCGTCTATGTCGACTGAGCAGCCCGTGCCCCGAGTCATAAAAACCCTAATCAAAATATAATTTTCAGTCCAGCCCTTACCTTGGAGGTATTTTACTTACTCAGATGACGTGACATGACTGACATAGCTTTATATATAACGAACTCGCTGACATTAAATGACGTAGTCCTTTGTGAACATCATAAACATTGGTCGAAGTAGAGAACATGATGTCAGATGAAAAAGTACATAATCATTTCTAAAAAATGAAAATGCACAAATGCGGACTTTTTACAATTGCAGTTAAACATGGTAATAACAAATATCACGGGACTGTTCAAATGAGTTGATTACAGGCGAGGATGTATCGATATGGAGCGGGGATAGAGATGTGGTGGTGCCCTACTCAGTAGTACCACACGAGTTATCTCCCATGAATTATTGCCACACGTTGACAATGGCAATGCTTAAATGATTTCAACGAAGACTTTTTTGTCAGGACTTTTATAGTTGCTGTCAATTCTATATTGCTCTCGGGATAGTACTGTTAACCTAAATGTGTGTATACATTCATAATGGGCAACAGCAACTACACCACGGTGTCATGTTTACTTGAAATAGTATTTGCCATGGTCAGCATGCGATAATCGGTAAATGAGAATTGATATGATTGTAAAACATTACACTCTTCGAAGGTAAGACGCAATTTATGCTAGCGTGAGAATATTCAGTCATTAACTTTGTTATTCTAGTCTGCGTTCAAATAATGTCCACTTTGCCGCTTAATGTTTTGCGACAGTAAGATACTAAGGAAAAGTACTGAACATCAGCCGTGTTGCATTATTATGGTTTCAAAATTCATTCGGATTTGCTTTGCTCGTTCGTTTGTTGTTTAACGTCGCAATGAGCAATATTCGAGCTATATGACGGCGGTCTGAAAATAATCGAGTCTGGGCCAAACAATCCAGTGATTGTTGTCATGAACATCGATCCACGCAATTGGGATACGATGACATGCACCAACCAAGTCAGCGAGCCTGACCACCCGATCCCTTTAGTCGCCTCTTACAACAAGCATAGTCGCCTCTTACGGCAAGCAGGATTCTAAACCGGATCGTCACGGTTACATTAATATTTGTATTAAATATGTAAATCAAACGTGTTTTTACATATGTACACAAGTTGATAATGTGTCAAAGGCATACATATTATTTTACTGAGCTGTGCTTTTATACATTGCATGTTACATGGAGTGTGTGATTGTTGTGGATAGTGGAAACTAGTCTAATGATTGTAGTTGGCGAAGGTTCCTGTGATGTTGTGGCCTGTAATCAGTTCTCCTCTTCCATCTGATGTTGCGGGATTACCAACATACATCATGACCCACATTGGTCTGTCAAAAGCAACATCTGTGACGGTGGTGTACACTGTGTTATCACCGGCATCAATAACCAATATTTTGTCATTAGCCCCATCCATTAGAAAACACAGTTGTAGGTCAATAGATTGTCCAACTCTGTTCTGAATGAGAGGGCGATCAGTGAGGAGGGTGCTATTATAGCCCACACAGAGACACAGCTGCTGCTTGTGGTTGGGGCATGTAGAAACACGTACACTCAGTCCAGTGAGTTGATTCAAGGCAGCATCTACAGGGGTGGGAGTCAGGGCAATCTCTTGTATAAGTTTCTTATCTTCTATCAATTCCTTTACACAAACCCGAAATTTTACGCGATACATGCATCGCTGGGCTTGACAGTTTTTAACCATTAAAGGCCTGGATGCCAGACATGAATAGATATTTTGTATCCGACATCCTGTGTCAGGAGAAGGGGCGGCTGAGGTGGTGTTTGTGATTACACATTCAGACACGTCAATATAGTTATGAGCAGTGCTTGAGTCCCATTCCAGAGTCGGGCCTGTGGGAAGAAAACGTCCATAATAAATACCAACACATCTTGTTGAAGTGTATAACACTTTAACTTCCTAATTCACAAGACACTACCATCTACCAACCAGAAAAAGAAAGTTACAAGTTATCATAGACATTTATAAGAAGCGTTATATCAATTTCAAATGGCATAAGCGTTCTTCTTCTATATATTGGGGTAGTCGGGTAGCCTAGTGGTTAAAGCGTTCGCTCTTCACGCCGAAGGCCCGGGTTCGATTCCCCACATGGGTACAATGTGTGAAGTCCATTTTTGGTGTCCCCCGCCGTGATATTGCTGGAACATATCTAAAAGTGGCGTAAATCTCTACTCACTCACTCACTCACTCACTCACTCACTCACTCTCTTGTATATTTTTTATACATAACATTGAAAACCCAAGAAACTCCTGCATGGAACAACGCTAACGCAAATCCTGTCATAGCTTCTATACTTTAACATTGACTGACACTGCGTTTTACGCTCGTTTAGATCTCGAAAGCCGTCGAACCTATCGAACTCAACAGACGAATGAATGTCAAAACCAATGAATAATATACTGTAACATCATTGAGTCAAGGACGCAGATCTTACATGTTATCTCCTGGTCACAGATGCTCCGGTCCATCGCCATCACTGAAACAAAGATATTAATCAGTATGTGTGTCCCATGTACACGTACTGCCTGCCTGCTGGTCGTGAAGATCCGGGTCAGAATAGGTCTAATGGGATCGGGTGGTCAGACACGCTGACTTGGTTGGTGCATGTCATCGTATCCCAATTGCGTACATCGATGCTAATTGTGTCAATCACTGGACTGTCTGGTCCAGACTCGATTATTTACAGACATCCATCATACAGCTGGCATATTGCTGAGTGAGGATTCAAACAACAAACAAATAATGCAGAACGTTCCTGTTTTAACAGTATTATCATGTGAAAAGGAAGTACAACATGCAATTCACTTGACGGGACTGTGTCCCTCAGCTGCCACATGTAATGGAATCCCAGACATCGACGTGCGCCAAGTTGGTGTTCGTACCATGTCAAGCTGACAGGGCACGATAATGTTTGACAGACCGCTATCCCCTGAATGCCACAGGGACATGTATGTCTTTGAGGTCAAATAGAACATATTCAACACCATGCACATTAAACGCACTTCATAGTTTCTGAATTCTGCTGCAGATGTGTTTTTCTGTGATTATCCGGGATTGAGTCGAGATCACTGACATCTGATTTGTCAAGACAACAATTTGAAACGTCACCACGAACCAAAGAATCATTCAGTCCGTTTTAGAAATAAGCCGCAAACATGATTGCCGAAGTGAACTTTCCGTCATGGTATCTCAGTGTCCTAGCTCTATGACATCGGCATTGGTCCAAAGGAGCCACAGGAGCAGTACAAGGAGCCACACACACACACACACATATATATATATATATATATATACGCATAAATGCACGCACGTAGCTTTTTCAGTACAATAATCTGGAAAGCGACGTTAATACCCTTTACATTTATAAATGTATGTTGTAACCAAACTACAAACGATGTTACTGTGGAACATTTTGAGCATACATACGCTCATCTCACTTCTTTTGAGAAACTATTTCTCCAAGATGCAGCTGGTTGGTTTACGGTGGCCAGTGTTAACATGACCTACTATTTGAAGATGTGTACACATCCTTCGAGGTATAAAATAGTGAAATAAAAGAATGATAAGAATTCAATTTGACACTTTGTGTGAGGATGGGCTTACATAGAGCAAGGGTCAAACTGTATAAACGTCGGTGCATGCACGTCAATGCTTAAATAACAAAATTAATCATATTTTATTCTTAAAAAATGTAAAATACAGAGACAAATTGAAGAGAATAAACACATTCTAATTAAACACATACGTCCGTTATTAACAATAGGCTTTTTAGAAACAAATTTGCATGTAATTATATTAATGTCTAACAATTACGCATGTTATGAAATTAACATAAACGAACTTGTTTTTTCAAAGACATTACTTACATGATATAGTCGTAATTTAATGTTGCCGAAAAAGTTTCAAATTCTGTTTTACACATCCAGGTTGTTTTATTTCAGTTGAACGAAAGTTGATGAAATATATAATAATATTTATCAATATACCACTGTCGTCTTGTCTCAATGCCACATCTCCAAAGACATAAAACAAGTCATGACGTCAAACAAACATGTATCAAATTTCAGTTTTCATCATATATGCTGGCACTTGATTATTAATGGCACACCATGAGTCATGAATGCTTGAATCTGGGGACTAATTCACATGTGTGATACGCCCATCCATTTCGTTATTACTTCCTTTTTATGTAGTATGATATCCTCATTAATTATGATTTGTGACCTCAACGAATTAGGCTTCACTATCTATATCTGTGAAAGTAAACACTATCATTGAGAGATTATGAGCTGTCTGTTTGTCGAAATATTAAATAACTATATATTATTGTTATCGATCAATACTTGCAGTATGTATTCAGGGAACAGTCTTTATGTCTTTTCGTTTATGTTCATAAATGTAACACATCCGCACAAACGTAAGTGTCAATTACGTGTACACTGAAATATTTGCATATTTGTACCTGAGGCTACATATGAAGTCAATTCTTCTAAATAAGTACGTTGAAGGTATGACTTTACAGGGTGTCTTTTTAATCTTTAACACAAAAGAACAACAAACAAAATTAGTTTATTGTTCAGCGCATTAATGCAACTACGGCCTTATTTGTGTTCGGTTTATGGAAACATAAATCAAACGTAACAACAAACATTTCCATAACAGCATACATATAGACCAAAAAATAAAGAAATGTACTTTGACTTTCGTTTTGTTTTAATCCTATCACTTTCAGCTGGGGTGTGAAATTAAACATCTATTTGAATTCGTTATGATACATTTTTCAGTCAATTTGTAAAATAACTGAATATTCTGAATGAGATATTTAATGTGACACAGATATGGTTTACGTGGATTATAATATGAAGACTATTAAATGCTGGTATAAACCAATTAGAATGAATGATGACAGATATCCCCGACAATGTTATTCACAATGAAGGAGCTGGATGAATGTGATAGAATTACTTGGGCAACTCATATTAAACATTTACTTGACATTTATGGATTTGGTTACGTTTGCACGAGCAGAACATTGGTGATAGTATGGCCAACATTCCTCAGTTATGCCCCTTTACTACTTCGCCAAAAGATGGCGCCAAACGCTACGGTCCTGCGCGTACTTCCGGTATATTACGCGGTTCATAGATATTTGCACGACCAACAACTACAACGAAGTATTTACGATGCCTTCGACGTGCTGCTGTGTCCCGGGATGCTGCAATCGAGGTGGTTTGTCGTTTCCGAGAGAACCCATGTTGCTGAAACGATGGTTGATTGCTATTCGGAGGAGCGACGAATCAAACCAAGGCAAGATGTGGAAACTGTCACCTCACAGTGTTGTGTGTCATTCCCACTTCAGACCGTCTGATTTCATTGCTGTAACTAGTTATGGTAAGATATTTGGGTAACTTGTTATGTTTCTATTCGTTGGCAGATTTAATTAACGTGCATGCCAATTATATTTGTTTTATTTTCTTGCATTGAAATTACGAAGAGGGTTTTACGTGACTCAGAAATGTGTATCCAGTATGCAGAAATGTGAAGAATGGACGCAGACAAAATAGAATATGTTCCGTCCCGCGGGACACACTTATTTTCACAGATAGTTTGATTTTGTCATTGAGTTAAATTGAGTAAAGATTCTTAAAACTTCGAAGTGTGTGATTATTTTCACAATAATTTTAGTTCCCTCCTGTCAGAGTAGGCGAGTCAATTTGAGTATTGGCTAATTCTAATGTAATCACGTTTGTGTGTGTTTGAATGTGAACCTATGAGTATATTTCATTGTTTTTTTAAAACCAAGATAGAAATAATGTGTCATTTAGGCCTTACTATAGCAGCCATTTTTTTGCCAGTCAGTGATCATGGTGATGTTTAGGTTTGACCCTCATATATTTCATGCAAGGGCCTTTGAAATCAATTACTAGGGGTCTAGTGCATACCCAGTTAATTAAGGTAAAACCCTGTTTACCACCATTATATTCCCGTTGATGAAGTTGTTGATGTTTGACCATAACCCTTCTTAGTTTTCTTCTTTAATTTGTTGAATTGATGATTACCAGGAATGTCAACACATATTTGACGTTTTTGCCTTTAATGCGTCATGTTACATTTTCCTGCAGGTGCTTGTTTTCCACAGAGATGAGGCACAGATGATTCAAGAATACAGGTTCATGTTTGTTCACTTTTGATGTGTATTTGTCAGAAAAGTGTCATGTGTACGTGTTGAACTTGAAGACACTTCTCTGTATCAGGCATTAGATGTATGTAATGTTGAGACTATATCTACGAAAATTGTCAGCTAATTTATATCATAATTTTCCTTAATTTAAATGTTTGTTTACTTTTCTAATGTATTGATGTGTATCACTATTATGTTCATAATGTGACAAAACATATCGTGCCCATAGAAATTCTTTCTTTCCCTACAAATTAACTTAAATCTAATCATAAAAAGCTATCTCACAGCTGGTAGTAAAAAGATTGCACAATATCTGTTTGGAAAATAATAATCTACTGCTGTTTTCCCCAGGGTGTACACCTCTGAGGAAACAGAGAAAACCAGATGCTGTACCATCAATCTTTCCCTGGACTGCATCAGCCAACGCACTTGAGGCCGATGGGGGATTACGGAAATCCCGCATTGAAAGACGTGAGAGCCAAAAGAGGACATTTAAAGCAATGGATACAGATTGTGATATTGAATGTGATATGAGTGAGGTAGCTGGGGAGGAAATAATTGACAGTGTTGAGTTTGATGACATGAATACCGACTTAAACATTTGTTCTGCAGATAGTGCAGAGGTTGAATATGAAAGTACATCGGCTCAGACGGACAAATTTCCAATGCTTTCATTACAAAGTATTATGTTTAATGCTGCAGCAATTTTGTTTTATACAGGACTGTCAAACTATACAGACTTCACCTTTGTACTTGCAAGTTTGGGTCCGTGTGCATATCACCTAAATTATTTGTACAGCAAAGTTGACAGTATGACAACAGTGTGGAAAATCAATTGCTTTTAACACTTATGAAACTGCGCCGACATAAGACTAACTTTGAACTTGGTCTTCATTTTGGAATTTCAGAGAAAACTGTATTAAATGTATGGATCACCTGGGTAAATTTTATGTATAGACAGTGGAGTGAGCTTGATAACTGGCCAGAACGAGACTTAGTGCATTATTTTTGTCCTTCTGATTTCAAATCCAAATTTCCATCCACACGAATTATCATTGATGGTACTGAATGCCCTATCCAGAAACCAAAACGCCCCATAGCTCAGCAGTCTACCTACTCAACGTATAAAAATCGAAATACTATCAAAATACTTGTTGGATCCACACCAGGTGGTCTTGTGTCGTATGTGTCTCCTGCGCATCGTGTCTCCTGCGTATGGTGGCTCCACAAGTGATCGTCAAATAGTAGAGCGTAGTGGTTTGACAGTGATGTGTGACCCAGGAGATAGTATTATG